CCAGCATTTATCGTACCTTCTCAGTGACTTATTGTGTCTTTGACCAAACACTGCATAATTTACCATAATTCCTGAGGCCTGCTTAGCTCATCCAGAGAATTCTGTAGCTGCAGGCCTCTTGAAAGTGATGACCTTAGCTGTGGATTACCTTGTATCTGAACTTTCTTGCCCTCTGTATCTGGACTGATCTGTCTTTTGAAGCCAAGTCTCTTACTTCCTTATTTAGAAACCCTCTTCTCTTGCTCTCTCTCCCTGTCCTTCTGCATGTGTGTGCTCTCTCTCAAATAAATAAATACATCTTTTTTAAAAAATCAGATTCAATTTTCTGAATCCCATTTTATGGACCTAGCATTTCATATGGACAGAGCACGCAGTGGTGTTCTGAGGCCTTGCAGCCTAACCTCAGGATCCAGGATCTCAGCCTGCTAATTTGTTTATCCTTCCACCAAATATCTATTGAGCATGTTTTATGTACCTTATACTGTCCTGGGCACTGTGGATACAGCAGGGAAAGTAAAAGACAAAGCTCCCTTACCTCAAGGAGGTTATGATTTAGAAATCTGAAGCTTACAAGGCAATAACACAGCTGATGGAGAGCTGCTGGAGGTGCTCAGAGGGTGCCAGAGTGATGGGGAGGCGGGTGGGGTAGGGAGTTGGGGAGGACGTGGTACTTTAACCCCTCAACAATGGTGGGCAGATGGCATGGCTTCCAGGCTAAGAGGATGGGTCCTGAGATGAGACTGAGGTATAGTATCCACCACCCCCCATTCATGGTTTCACTTTTTCCCATTCCAGTTCCTCACTGGAAGCAGTGATCATCCTTCTGATGTCAGAAGGCTGGTAGTAGCCTAACGCTGTGTCACAGTGCCTGCGCCATTCCTCTCACTTCTCATCACATGTGCATTTTATCATGCCAGCATCACTCAAGGACGAGTATAGTACAGTGGGATATTTGGAAGAGAGAGACCACATTCATGTAACTTTTATTGTAGTACATTGTTATAATTATTCTAGTTTATTCTCTGTTACTGTTTTTCACTTTACTTTGCTTAATTTATAAATTAAACTTTGTTATAGGTATGGACATACAGGAAAAAAACATATATAACATTCTGTATTACCCGTGGTTTCAGGCATCCTGTGGGGGTCTTGGTACATTATCTTCCGTGTGTAAGGGTAGGGGGCTACTGTGCTTCCTCCACTCCTCTGGGCCTCAGTTGCCTGACATATAAAGCGGGTAGGACAATGATATTGCACCTAGAAGGCAGGGTCCCTGGCTTGAAGGAGTCCTAGCCTTGTGGGATTTCAGATATACTCAGGATGAATACCTAGGACTGGGTGTTACAGATAAAGGGGACATGAAAATATAAGGAGGACTTATCTTAGGTAAGATAAGAAAAGATAAGGAGGACTTACCCTCAGGGAGGCTGGCACACTCCCTGAGGGTAAGGAAGCTGGCACAGCAGAGGACAGAGTGGTTGGGGGAAGGATGGAAGCTAATCAAGTCACACAGCAAGTTGGGGCAGAGTCAAGGTTAAACACAGGTCATCTGACTCAGACCCCAACCCTTTGCACTATATCCCACAACCTTGAATGTGAGCCTGGGGAGATCAGGAAGACACATGCTGGACTCAGTTTTGAAACCCAGGCTGCAGCGTGGATAGCATGGGGCTGTCACTGGACCGAGGAGAAAGATGACACAAGTTCCCAGTGATGGGGCTGAAGAGGGGGTGTCATGTCAGAATGTAGTTGGAGATCAAGTTGTCAGGACTTGCTGCCCCTGATTGAATGCGGAAGAATTTGGGGGAAGAGGGGAGGCAGGCTCCAGTTTGAACACCTGGAGCACAGCCTGGGAGACAGTATTCTCAGCCCATTTCCTCACTGTTGGCTAGTTTGACATCTTCCTTGGCGGACTCAGCCTTTCCAATTCCTGCTTAGCGTTGGAAACCCAGCTTCAACCCCGCTGTCAGAGCCAAAAGGCTGAAACTATCCATAAAGAAGCTTCCAGCCCATCTCTCTAGCCTCCTTTTCATGTTTCACATTAGTCCGGTGGGTGTCATAATCCCAGGAATGTCATTCAGGCATGTCAGCAGTTCTTTCTTTGAGCATGAGATCTGGGTCTTACCACTCTGGGGACAGGGACTGAGGTCCTGCAGGACACTGTGAATGCATCAGTGAAAAAATGGGCTAGAGCAAGAGTAGAAGATAGTGGATTTCTTCCCAGTTGATTATGGAGGCTGCCCAGAATACTGTGGAGGGTCTTGAGGCTTAGCTACATCCAGGCTTAACTTCAGAGAGTATTGTGATCAATTGGTGATGTCTGCCATGAGCACAGGCAGGATGTGGTGGCATGCATGCCTTTATGTGCAATTTCTTAATGACAAGGTCTGTATTATTTGCACAGTCTATGGCTGTTCTCAGGAAAAATCAAAGATATTGTCCAGGTATCTAGTATAGTTGAGGGTTAAAGGGGCTGTTGGGAGAACTGGGACCAGTGTCAGATACAGGCTGTCTTCAGCATTGCATTTTCGACTTTCATACCATTCTCCACTTGTGTCCATTACATAATGATGCCCCTAAGCCATCTTTTGTTCCCTGACTCAAAGCTCTCAAACCTCAGCTCACAAAGGGATTTTTTCTAGCTAACGCCTGCCAGCCGGTGGTTTCATTTTGGCAGCCTAAGTCATTGTCTGCACTGTGGTCTTTGGACAGTTCATCTGAATATTTTCTTTCCCTTATGGTTTTATTTTAAAAACTGTAAAAATGAAGGTGTGGATTTCAGTGGAGGGAGTGTAGTTCTCCTCAATGTAATGTAGAAGCAGAGCATGCATTTAGAGCTCTAAACAATGGGATTGCTTCAGAAGAATCCTTAGCCATTTAGTAAGTCATGCCAGTTTGGACCTTGAGGAACAGTCCGCATCCATGTGTATTGCTGAGGGCATGGTCAGGGCTCATTTGGCCAGGTTATAAGTGACCCCTTAATGACACCCTGGTGGCCCAGTATGCTCAAAACAGACCAGACGGAGGGATGCCTGGGTGGCTCAGTCAGTTTGCATCTGCCTTCAGCTCAGGTCACGATCTCAGGGTCCTGGGATCCAGCCCTGCATTGGGTTCTCTGCTCAGCAGGAAGCCTGCTTCCCCCTCTCTCTCTGCCTGCTGCTCTGCCTACTTGTGATCTCTGTCTGTCAAATAAATAAATAAAATCTTTTTAAAAAAATAAAAAAGATTTTTAAAACTTATTTATTTGACAGAGCAAATGAGAGAGCACCAGCAGGGGGAGGAGCGGCAGGCAGAGGGAGAGGGAGAAGCAGGCTTCCCGCTGAGCAGGCAGCCAGGACACAGAGCTTGATCCCAGGATCCTGGGAACATGACCTGAGTAGAAGGCAGATGCTTAACCGACTGTGCCACCCAGGCGCCCTCTGTATTTAGTGTTTCTATTTCAGTTTTTCTAAGATGTTAATTTATATGAAAATAAAATAAATAATGCAAGGAAAAAATCCAAGAGGAAATGCTGTATAAATGTGGCTATTTCTATTGTCACATGTGAAGTGATTGGCATTTAATAGGATTTTATTCTCTTCTTTCCTCTGTCCCCATTTCCCATGTCCTCAACTTCTGCTAATCCTTTATGGGCCAATCCCTGGATCACCTCCTTGGAGAAGCCCTTCCTGACTGCCTCTGTAATTAGTTCCTCTGTGCTCCTCCATCCTTTACTTTCTCCCCTGATCACATAATGCATTACCTACATGTCTGTCTGTTCTCCTAGTGGGGAAGCCTCTTGAAGCAGAAACTTCCATTCAAGACTCATTCTTATTTGTGTATTCCAGAATCTAACTCAGTGCTTGGTACGTAGGAGTGTTCTGGGTGTGTGAGTGAGTGAGTAGGGGAGGAGTGAGTAAATGAATAAACGCACAAAGTGAAGGACTGGACTGCCGTAAAAGAAACCCTGGGCTGAGAAACGATTCCACTAGAAAAATTAAGACCATAGGTCGTAGAGCACACTGAGTCTCTGAACCAGTCCGAAAGCTGGACACATATCCGTGTCTGTGCACCTTTGTGGGAAAGGGCCGAGAGTCTGTAGCTGTCCTCAGATCCTCAGAAGTGTCCGTGGCCCCCACATGTTGACAAGTTGCTGATCTAAACAGATGGAAGAGGCAGGCCCCACTGAGAGGACATGACCAAGTTATTTCAGAGGAGAACGTGACAAAGAAAAAAGTGAGAGCTGGAGGGGACACCGAGTCCTGCCAGGACCTCAGGTGAAGGTGTGGCCCCAGGACAGGAACTCCCAGAGTCTAGAACGTGTGGCTGTTTCCTTGTAAACAGTTCTTGTATAAAGAAACCCAGAGGGGATTTTGTTACTTGCACAGAATGTGTGGGCTGAAAGGGCTGCCCAGGTTCATTGGGTCCTCCAGACACACCCCACGGAAATCAGCCCTGGCACACACTGGGTCTTTCTCACCCCCGACAGTGCCCTCCCTGACTCCTCTCTTGCACTTTTCTATCCTATCCTTGAATGTGAAAACTCAATTTTACTCAAGAGCGTTGTTTTTTAAAAATGTGGATCATGGCCTGTTGGTGAATTGTGACTTGCATTTAGAGCATCATGACCAGCTCTTTTTTAAAAATAAGAAATCAGATATGATAGAAAATATTGAGTGCATCACACATGGAAGAGTGAGTATTTTGTGAAACATCCTGTTTCAGCTCGATGTGCATGGAAATTTGATATCCTGTGTATTACCTTCTGTGGGGTATGGCCACAAATGACTGAAAAGCACTGATCTCAAGCATCTTTGTTGACACTCATTAGATACTCACTGAAGGAACTGGCCCTTGAAGGGTCCAGATGGTGAGAGATGAGGTGGGAGAAGAAGCCATGTGGGGTGTTAATGTATCCCTGCACTGGGAAGCCCTTTGCTCCAGGCCGGGATTTAGGAGCCTGCCATGTCGCCCCCACACCGTCACCCCTTCTTGATTCTTTCCTCTCCTCCCCTGGGCAGGTTGTGTACGTCACTGCAACATTTCCATATGTCATGCTTCTGATCCTCCTGATCCGAGGGGTCACGTTGCCCGGGGCCTCCGAAGGCATCAAGTTCTACCTGTACCCCGACCTCTCCCGGCTCTCTGACCCACAGGTAAGAGTTGCTTGCTCAAGGCCCAGTTCCCCATCACACCTGGGAAGCCTTCTGTGGGCCTCTGCTACTAACCCAGGGGCTCACCAGCTGGCTGAGTACGTGGAATCCTGTGGACCCCTTCTCACAGCAATAATTTTCAATGCACGCATTAACATTAACAAAAAACGAATTTGTGATGTGGTAATAAAGTATGTGCTCATTTATCAATATATCAAATAACAAGATTCTGCAATAGGTCCAGTCATTTTCATGATTTCAAAGTAGTGATGATCATAAAAGACCTTTGGAGATATCTATACTGTGATATGAAAGTATCTGGAATTTCTACTGCTAACAATACTGTAATTTGTTGTCTGCCTTCATAATTGAAGAAGTGCTGAATTTCAGAGGTTAGTGACAATAAAACACATGTTTTCCTTCCACCTAAGATCTCAGATCCCTGCAGCCATGCATCTCAGCCAGAGGAACTGGGTCTGTGTTGGTGATTGATTTTTCTTATGGGTGTAGCTCACAGAAAGAAGATAATTGGTGAAGACTGGCTCCCCTGTTAGTTGTATCCAGGAAGGCATTGGCTGTTGTATATGTGTAGTGGATAGTGACTGTTTATACCTAAACTTCTCTAAGTGGGTAGTAGGGGTGTGCCTGGGGGTACATTAGACGAGAGATGAAACCAAACATCTTGCAGGCCCAGGAGTATTCAGCCTCATTACTTGTTAGAAGCTCCTGGAAACTTTCGAAAAATCCCAATTCCCAGACCAATTAAATTAAATTTTCTGGGGGTGGGTCCTAGGTATCAGGATCTTCTAAAGGTCACCAGGTAATCCCAGTGTGTATGTCAGATAATGTGCTCAAAGACATTTGATGGATGTGGAGACATCCATTTTTTTTTAAACTGAAGTGTACTTGACATATAATGTTACATTAGTTTCAGGTGTACAACACAGGGATTCACCATTTTTATACATTATGAGTTGATCACCATGATAAATCTAGCTACTGTCTGTCACCCTACAAAGTTGTTATATATTATTAACTATAGCTAATATAGTGTACCTTGTATCCCTGTGACTTATTTATTTTATAACTGGAAGTTGTACCTCTTAATTCCCTTCCCCTATTTTGACTACCCACTCCCCAGCAACCACCACATTGTTCTCTGTATCTAGGAATCTGGTTCTGTTTTGTTTTTTTCATTTTTTTTTTTTTTTTTTTTTTAGATACCACATATAAGTGAAATGCAGTATTTGTCTTTCTCTGACTTATTTCATTTAGTGTAGTACCCCAGGTCCATCCATGTTGTCACAAATGGCAAGATTTCATTCTTTTTTATGACTGAATAATATTCCATTGTGTCTCTACACCACTTCTTTATCCATTCATCTCTCCGTGGACACTTGGACTGCTTCCACAATTTGGCTATTATAAATAATGCCACGATGAACATAGAGGTACCCATATTTCTACTAAAACAAACATAGATGGATCATGCATTAGAATGTGGAATCTGTATTCATAGAAGATGAGCCTGTAAGAAATTCCAAGTGTGCAGTCTGTGGCTTCTAACCACCCCCTGTTAGGAGAAATTGGATGGGAAGGTTTATGGAGGGTGAGTTACTGTAGCTCAGCTGTACTCATTACAGTGATTAAGGTCCATGGTGGAGTGGCAATGTGTACTCATTTCTATCTCAGTTTGCTGTGCTGTGAGGGGCCCCCGAGCCTCAGGGCACCATCAGGCATCTGAGGCAGCATCCTGAATTGCATGCAGAATCCCTAGGAAGAAGGAAATGAGCTCCTGACTGTTGGCCTTGCCAATGCCAACCTATGATGGCAAAGGCTCAGTTGGAGAATCAGTTTTGGAAAACCTATTTCCAGAATCACTGGTCTGTGCATTTGTGTTAGATCCACAAATTCTTGACAGATTTCCTGTTCTTTCCTCTACTCATGGGCTTTCTTATCCTGGTCCTCAAGGTCAGGCAAGAGATTCTGAGCATCACCCAGAGTTTCCAATCCTCAATGATCATTGAAACACCTTGGAACATGTTAAAAGTGCAATTTCAGGGGTTATGGGATGGAAACTGCACATCTATATTATTAGAAAGCTGTAGAGGAGATTCTGATGATTGGAAAAGTTTGGGAAAACCCAGCCACCACCTATAACCATAGAGGCCTATCTACACATATGCACACAAACTCACACATATGTGCCACAAACTCACACCCACACACAGAACAGAAGCCTGATAGTCCACCATTCACACTGCCTGCCCACACCATCCCAGTCTCCTGCCATCTCTGTCCTCTTAGGCCTTGGCTCCCAGGCCAGCACTTACCTGCAAGGCTGTTCTGTGGAATGGCCACTTGGAATTGTGGCCAGCACATTGGGCCAGCAGTCTGGACCTGGTCTTCCTCTGGCTCTGCTGCTGATCCTGAGTGACCTTGGACAACTTCTTCTTTCTGGGCCTCAGTGTTCCCACCAATGACATGAAAAGATTGAATTCAGTCAGCAGTTTCAAAGTAGATCCAGAGAATCCTGCATTTTCTGTGAACGTGGGTTGACAAACTGCCTTACAGGCCAGATTCAGCCCTCTGCCCTTGTTTCATAAATAAAGGTTTATTGGAATGGAGCCATGTTGTTTGTGGCTGCTCGAAGGCATAACCCAGAGGCAATGTGGAGTAGATGAGACAGAAACCGTATGACCCCTTGTGTCAAGGGTTCCAAGACCCCACACATGTTGAGTGATGGACTAGAAGGGCTCAGAGGACTCAGCAGTTACACCCTTGAATGTAGTCTACTTCCATCATCAGATGAAGTCTGCAGGAATCCATGCTTAGGCTTCCCATGGTATTCTGCAGGGAGGAGACCCCCTGAACATCTTCCTTCTTGTAGTATCAAAATGCAGCAGCATGTGGGCAGTATTTCTGCCCAGAGGAGATTGCTCAGGACCTGGGTTTTTAATGAAGAAGATTGATTGATTGATTGATTGATTGATTGATTGATAAAGATTTTATTAATTTATTTGTCAGAGAGAGAGCATGCACAGGCAGGGGGAGTGGAAGGCAGAGGGAGAAACAGGCTCCTTGTAGAGCAGGAAGCCTGATGTGGTACTCAATCCCAGGACCCTGGGATCATGACCTGAGCTGAAGGCAGATGCTTAACTAACTGAGCCACCCAGGCGTCCCAATGGGGAAACTTTATTAAGTGCACAGATACTTTCTGGCCATGTGGTCAATCACACAGACCCCAGAATTCCCGACCTTCAGAAGGAAAGCAGGTGCTCACTGTAAATTGCCTTGCTTGCATAAGCAATCCAGGCAGGCTGGCACAGCAGAATTCAGTGCCCCAGACATCTGAAATGACTGTGTGACTTAGTACCAGAGGGAACATCTTTTTTTTTTTTTTTTTAATTTTATTTTTTTTAAAGATTTTATTTATTTATTTGACAGAGAGATCACAAGTAGGCAGAGAGTCAGGCAGAGAGAGAGAGAGAGAGAGAGAGAGTGAGAAGCAGGCTCCCCACTGAGCAAAGAGCCCAATGCGGGGCTTGATCCCAGGACACTGAGATCATGACCTGAGCCGAAGGCAGCAGCTTAATCCACTGAGCCACCCAGGCGCCCCCAGTGGGAACATCTTACCTAAGTTCCCAGACACCAGTCAAGAGCCATTCCTGCCAGCAGGCCCTTTTGGACAACAATGTCACGCTGACTGTGGTAACTCTTTCCTGAACCCCTGCAAAACCTAAAATATTTACTATTTGGCCTTTCCTAGGAAAAGTTACTAATCTTGAGCTGCAGTTACTACAGATGCCTATAAGGGGAGAGTTGATGACCTCTGATCTGCACACACACACCCCCATTCCATCCATGTTGCTCTCTACCTCTGCTGCCATCAAGCCTGGTCCAAACACCACAATCTCCCACTTGACAGGAGCTTCCTAACTGGTCTTCCAGAAAAATCTTTTGACCCTTGTAGGCCACTCTCATGCAGCAGCAGAGTGACCTTTCCGAAATATAAATATGACAGATACCTTTTTGCTTAAATCCCTTCTGGGATTTCCTGTGGTCTTTGGAATAAGATCCAAAGGGAAGGACCTCCAAGGGCTTCCTTGAACTGTGTTCTTGCTTCATCCCTCCTCCCTCCCCACCTTTCTTAGTTCATCCCAGATATTGGCCTTCTTTCTGCCTTGGGACCTTTGCACATGCTGTCTCTCTGTTGGGAACACTCCCTCTTTCTTCCCCAGATCCCCCTTCCCCACCTTGCCTCATAGCCACTCAGTTTAAACATCACGTTTTCAGGCAAGTCTTTCCCAACTGCCAACCATTCACCCTCAAGGACTTCTACTTGTTTTCCAAAGCATTTACCATATGTACAATGGAATATTTATATATATACATACATATATGCCTGTATTACACGTATGATTCACTTGAAACCCATGCATTTGCTTAGCAGATACTTACTAAGTGCCTACTCTGTATCAGAGATTATTATAGGTATCAGGGATGTAGTAGTAGACAGCGGACAAAACAATGACGTTTATATGCTAGTCGAGGAAGAAGGCAGAAAACAGAAGTAAAAATAAAATATGCAGTCCATTAAATGGTGACAAGACCCATGGAGACCAAGTATGGAATGTCAAGGGGAGAGCTTGAAAGAGAGCTGCAGTTTCCAGCATGGTGGCCAGGGTGGACCTCCCAGAGAAGACAGCTTGGAAGCAAGCACTGTATCTGCCTTGTCCACCACTGTGTCTCCAGTACCAGTGCCTGGTACATAATAGGTGCTCAGTAAATATTTGATGAATGACTATAAGAGCCAAAGCTATTTTGATTTTTGAAGGAAAGTTCTATTGTTTTAGCTAACATTCTAAAAACCTCCAGCTCACCAGATCTGAGTTATGTTTTTGATCCTCCGTCACTGATGGCAAGGAAATGTGTATGTTTGTGTGTGTGTGTGTGTGTGCACCCCAAAATCAACATGAGAGTTAACCCTGTGGGGCAGAGGT